ACTATTGACTTCACAATTTCAAACAGCATATTTATTCTTGTAACTAATACTGTTAATTATGAATTCTCATACAGACTCTTAAATAATATGAAATATAGATTTTAAAATACTGTATAAAATAAAATGAAGAATATGAAAATAGTTATTTTTCAGACAAAGTAGATAAAATTTATAATTTTTTTTTCTTGTGAGTTTGAAATAAAATGGAGGAAAATTTTACTTCTCTGTACTGTTCTCTGTTTTATATGTTCATCAAATGAAATATTAGGTCTCAAATTACAAAAATTTTTAGAAGGAAGGAAAAAAGCGTTTAAAGCAAAATATGAAATTCTTTATTTAAAATAAAATTGTTTCTTCTGTATAAATTTAAAACTTTCATCGTGATAAAATAAATAATTATTCAAATCTTCATTTTGCTTAAATTGTAGTCATTTTGAAATTCTGTTTCGACGCATTGTTTTTTCAGTGTTTTTTTTTTTTTTTAAACATTTTATGTTATTTCACAAATCACCAAATTATATGCTTTTATACTAAGTAAAATATCGCTCTCAAAATATCCTGATATTTCTCTGAAATTCTTAACTCAGATTCATGACTTCCAGAGCCATGTAAATTCCTCTTTATCAGTGACTCATAGTTGGGGTGCATATTCTCCCCCTTTAATCTTCTATTACCGGTGACCTGTACTGTGAAGGTCAAGTTTCTAGGACACTATGGCCAGTTATCAATAAAGTAATGAAATTACCAGATTGGATATTATGAAAAATCTTTATCTACGAAAAATCAAAATTTTTTTTCAGGAAAATTTTTAGTAAACGTATCAAACCGTTCCACTAATAATAGCCTGAAAAAAGAAAAGCGAAAATTGTGAAGAGGGAGTGTGTGTATAAGGGAAAAACTGTGGTTTTGTCAAAATTCGGAAATAATCGTTCGAAAGTTTTAGTAAATAATTTGAGAAGTTTCTTTAAACTCTAATGATCTAAATATCAATAGAAAAAAAATGAAATTTTAAGATTTTACGTCATTAAAAATTCCTTAATTTTTTTAGGATTCCAATTATTTCCAGAATACGCATCAAATTTAACGTTAACGTAGTTTTCGCAAACTACAAAATGGTTACATTAGCATCTTATTATTTTATTATGATCAGAAGAAATAATGCAGCCATTTCCAAAGGAATAGAAAAGGGCAGGGTGCTTTCTCACTGAAAAGGGCACTTTGAGTTTCGAAAGGGCACTCATTTAACATCGTAAATATTTATCAAAATGTGTAATATTATATAATGACTTAATTTTATGCTTAGAAATTTATAAATAAGCCTCTCATACTACTTTGTGAATATATTTCAAATGCCAATTCTCTTTCATTATCAAAATAAGAGAAAAAATTGCAGTTTATAAAAATAATTAAAGGCATGCTAAAAGGCAATCTCTGCATATTTCTTTTTTCAAAAAGTAAATAAATATATAAATAAAATAAACTAGCAAAATATGATTAATTTATAAACAGCTTGAGAGCTTTTTTCTATAATTTAAACTGAAAATTATGAGAAAATCAACATTTAAAAATGGATTTTTTTTTCTTCAAAAACAGGCATTTATTTTAGAAATAGTTTTAATAATTAAAATCACTAAAAAAATTTTTTTTATATTTCCTCTGAAAAAAAATATACTTGTAAAAATTTAACCAATTAAGAATAATCCTAACAAAGTTGTATTATGTAGTATTAAACAGATTATTATGTAGTATTAAACAGATTATTAATTAGTGTATTATGTAGTATTAAACAGAATATAACCTATAAACACAGATAATTTTACTGGTGTGTAATTATTTAAAAATAATGAATTATTTTTTTGTCAAAGTGGTTTCTGAATAAAAAGGCAGTGTTTTTAGGGGATCTAGGCTTCTACAAAAAGTGCAAAGAGGGCGCATTTATTGGGATAAAAGGGCAAGTCGGGCGGGCCGCCCTTCAAAAAACGCTTAGGGAGAACAATAAATAATGCATAATTTATAATGCACTTATATAATACAACTAACGCTGAGTTTCGTGCTACAAATTTCACCTTATATATTACTTAAATTAAAGAATTTGCTAAGATAAGAAGTATGTTGAAAATTTGTTAGATTTCGTTCATTCTCCAGACAAAAGATTCAAATAGTGTAGACGAAAAACCCATCAAATGGGGATAAATCTATTGTTCATTCTATCTTCATGAACAATGAATCTTTTATGCCTTTATTTTATTTTCTGATCGAAAACTAAGAATCGTATTTTTCACAACGTGGTTTCAAGTTAGAGAAAAGAGGTGAAATAACTACTAAGAAAAAATTAAATTTAATGCGCACTTTCTAACTATTATTGGTGTTTTAAATATTTTTATAGAAGTCTTTTCTTTTTTTTTTTTTAATTTTCTTTTTTTTTTATAAACTTTCTAAACATATGTTTTTCCCACCAATTTATTTTCTTCATTTTGTTTTGCTTGTTTTTTTTTTTTTTGTTTATTAGAAAACTTTTTTTTTAATGAGTATGAGCACATGCTGTTTATTTACGGTTTAAAAAAAAACTAATAATATTCATTGGATTATAATTATTGATTTATGAACGACGTCAACTTATAATTTATGTAGGAAATTTTTATTATTTTAACTTAATCCTCTTAAATGATAGAAAATAAGGATTTTAGTATGAATGTAGTTGTTTTTACTGTTGAGTTTTAAAATTGGAGATGACGAACATTTAAAATGACCTAATCAATGATTTTTAAAATTAAATAATAATAATTGAAACATTAAATACTGTTTTAGGTTTTAATTTCCATGTATATATATGTAAATCTTTAAAATAATATAATTTTAATTCTTTTCTGATAAAAAAAATCTCATCAGCTCTTTGTCAATATCAGTTTTTCGAAGAAAAAAAAATACCCGTTTTAGATTCCAATTAGTGTATTGACAAAAATGTAAAAAACTAAAGCAAAAAGTTTTCAAAGAATGTTTAATAACTCAATTTAAATATCTAATACCATATTTACATTATCTTTTGTCAATATTAAATCTTCTAAAAAATATTTAATATTTAAATCTGGTGTAGTAAAGCTGTTTTTATGTTCAAAATTTAGATTAAAGTTACAGAATGAATCAAGAATAACTTTTCCTTTTTCTTTCTTTATTTGATCAGTTTTATTGGAAAAATATAAGGAATTTATTTTTTCAATAAATATTGGAAAAATATACGGAATTAATATTCAAATTTTAATAATTGCTACTGTTATCGTTTTGAGCTTTGTACTATTATTGAGAATAAATATGTAATTATATCTTGTATCAAATAGAATAAATCTTTAGTTTCATGCAAATAACTTTTAGCGAGTTTAGTTTTGATCTCTCTCTTGTAAGTAAATGAGGAATTCGTATCATAAATATTAAGAGTTGCTACTGTTATTATTTAGAGCAGGATACTATTGCTTTAATAGAAGGTTTAGATTTGATTTTTCTTCTGGAAGAAAATCAGGAATTTATATCCAGATATTAAGAGCTGCCACTGTTATCGCTTAGAGCTGGATAGTATTGCTAAAAGAAAATATGTAATTCTATATTATATCACACAGAATAAACCTTTAGTTTTACGTAAATAACTTTATTTGAATTTAGATTTTGTTTATCTTTTGGATGAAAATGAGGAATTTACATTCAAATATTATTTAGAGTTGCTACTATTATTGTTCAGAGTTCGATACTAATTCTATTTTGCATCACACTTCATAAACTTTTTTGTTTTACATAAATAACTTTTAGTGAGTTTAGTTTTGATCTCTCGCAATAAAATGAGGAATTTGTATCATAAATATTAAGAGTGCTATTGTTATCATTTAGAGCTGCATACTATTGTTAATAGAAAATATATAACCCATTTTATATCCTATTGATTAAACCTTTAGTTTTACATAAATAACTTTTAGTGAGTTAAGATTTGATTTTTGTTCTGGAAGGAAATTTGGAATTTATATCCAAATATTAAGATTTGCCACTGTTATCGCTCAGAGCTGGATACTATTGCTAAAAGAAAATATGTAATTCTATATTATATCACACAGAATAAACTTTTATTTTTACGCAAATAACTTTATTTGAATGAAGATTTGGTTTATCTTTTGGAGGAAAATGAGGAATTTACATTAAAATATTATTTAGAGTTGTGCTACTATTATTGTTCAGAGTTCGGTACTAATTCTATTTTGTATCACACTTGATAAACTTTTAGTTTTACATAAATAACTTTTAATGAGTTTAGATTTGATTTATCTCTTGGAAGGAAATGAGGAATTTATATCATAAATATTAAGAGTTGCTACAGTTATTATTTAGAGCTGGGTTCTATTGCTAATAGAAAATATATAACAAATTTTATATCACATTGATTAAACCTTTAGTTTTACATAAATAACTTTATTTGAATTTAGATTTGGTTTATCTTTTGGAAGAAAATGAGGAATTTACATTGAAATATTATTTAGAGTTGCTACTATTATTGTTCAGTGTTTTATACTAATTCTATTTTGTATCACACTTAATAAACTTTTAGTTTTACATAAATAACTTTTAATGAGTTTAGATTTGATCTATCTCTTGGAAGGAAATGAGGAATTTATATCCAAATATTAAGAGTTGCTGCTAATTATTATTTAGAGCTCGATACTAGTTCTATTTTGTACCACACATATTAAATCTTTAGTTTTATATAAATAACATCGAGTTTAGATTGTCCTTCTTTTGGTGAATTTTTCACATTCTTAGTTTTTCTAAGTAGCAGCTCAGTCGATTCACAAGCCTGGTATGTCGACGCTGTTTTTCCAAAAAGCTTAGTACATACTAAGGAAGATTAGAAGGAAAGCGTTAGAAAAGATAGTTCTTTCTCTCCAAAGCCGTTTTTTCCAATCCTCCTTCATTGAGTTGGACAAAAAGGAAAAAACCTGTTTCTACGCTCCGCCGAGAAACTCAGCTCTTACACGCAGTTCGTGGCCTTGTTTGTGCTCAAATTGATAAAAGCAGTGGCGAACGGAGGAGGGTATGTATGGGTGCACGCTTCCTAACTTTTGAGAGGCGGAGAGAGAAGGGGGGACAGCAAGTGGTGACGTCGATTTCTCTACTACCGATATCGAGAACGATTGCCTGCCTGAAATAGAGCAAATCGGTGTTGCTAATTTTTGGGGAAAAAGTCTTCTCGTGGACTGCTAAAGTTGGAGAAGGATATCTTCAAAATGGAGACTCTAAGTTTTATGACGTGTAGGACGTTTGTCTTTTTTTGTGTTTATCTTAGTTGTTTTTGTCTTAGCCTGTGTTAATATTCTGCGCACAAGTGTTGTATCTTAAACGCGCGTGGAGAAAATCTGTAATTTCTTAAAAAAATGGATGTCTTTCTTCTTTTTGTCGACTGCCTGGAAAAATATTAACTCTTTGTTGCCCATTGATTTCTTTTTGTTTTATTTGTTTAAATTACCTTCTGGTGTTTTGCAAGTTTAAATTTAAGATTATTTTAAAAGAAATTCAGAACTTTGCGTGCACATTTTCTATTAAAAATATGTTTAAGTTGCTTTCCAAATTTTGCACAGTTTCCATGCTATTGGTGTAAAATGATTTAAAATTTTGCAGTTTAAAGCAGAAAAAGACATATTTCTTTAAAGTAAACAAATCGAAAAACAACGTTCAGTCGAAAATGTTTTCTGGTATTAACTTTTGAAATAAACATGATATAGCAATTCTGATGAAAAAGTCTCTTGCAATGATATTAAAATTTTTTTAAATTTTATTTTTTCTTGTTTTTGCAATTTTAAATTTAAAATTATTTTTCTCATTTTAAAATTTTGCTTCCTCATTTTCTATTAAAAATGTATTATTGTCAACTTTCTTTAAAATAATTTGAAATTATATATTTTGGAAAAAGATCTTTTTTTTTAAGCAAACGATTCTGTAAATAACATTTAGTTAAAATCGTTTTCCTTTTTTTTTTGGCCATCTTTTGTAAGATGCTTCAATGCACTTTCTCATCAATCACTTTTGCATCAATACTCTTTTTGAATAAACATTCTTCCCAATAACATTTAAATGAATGTTTGTTTTTCTACTGTCTAAAAAAATACTCTTCTCTGATTTATTTATATCTTATTAGCTTAAATTTTATTTATTTATTTACTTTAATTTGCATTAACGTTCTTTTACATTTTCTATTAAGAATGCGTTAAAATTAACTTTCAAATTATTGTTGTAAAATTATCTGAACTAAGGAAAATAACACAATTTTTTAAATGAATGATTCTAATAACAGTTTTTAAACGTAATCGCATAATTGTTTTTTTTCTAACTGTGGTCTTTTGAATATAATATCCTTTTTTGATAAAATATTCGTGCAATATTTATATACTTATTTATTTTTTCACTGCACAGAAAACAGAGAGTGTAACTTTTCGTTGCCTGTTGATTTATTTTTATATCGCTGTTTTAAACTTCACTACTTTAAATTTCTGTTAAGTGATATTTTAATTTATTCTTCGTTAATTTTAAAAATATCTATCTTCTTTCACTATTAAACATAAGCTAAATTTATCTTTCAAATTTTGCATGACTTTCAAACTACTGTAAAATAATTTAAAAATTAAGTAGTTTACAGTGAAAGAAAATAACACAATATTTTAAGGAAATGATTCTCTGAATAGTGTTCATTCGAAATCGCTTTCCGTTTCTTCATTTGTCATACTTTTTAATGGAATATGATAATCAATAAATTTTTTGGATTAAAGACTCTTGCTCTGTAAAATTTTAGTTAATAAAAGAAAGTTTTAAGTTCTCAAAACTAGTTAACTACTTCCAATATTTTTTGAAGAACATTTCAACATTTCATGAGAACGCAATAGTTGTTAAGTTCTTGTCTAAAGATTTTCATCAATCCCTTGTCATTTAAAGACAGCTTTAAAATCTTGTACAATATAGATATATTTAATCATATCCGAATTTAAGATCAAAATATCTAGCTTTTATTTTTCTATAATAGTTAACTTGCTTTTTCTGTTTTATGAAAAAAAAAGTTTGCCACTAAATATTTATTTTTTAAAAGAATAATTTAAATTAATGTGTATTTATGAATAAATATATTTAGTTAGTCCATTTTTTTTTTTTTTTTTTTTTAAATTCCACCCATTGTTATNTTTTTTTTTTTTTTTTTTTTTTTTTTTGAAAAATGCTAGAAGATAACTTATCGTTGAATTGTTAGAAGTTTTTTAAATACCACTTGTCTAATATTTTTGACTAACTAGATTTCACTGTTACTTTTCATTTGAAGGAATATTTTTAAAACGAGTAAATATTTTTTACGAAGGAATACTTTTTAAACGAGATTTGTCTCTTGTTTGAATTGTAATTTAAAAAAATAAAATTGTGATTTTAGGGATCTGGTTAAGTTCCCGAAATTTCGAATTTCTGTGAAAAGTATGAGGTAACGTTTAATACTGTTTAAACATATATAATTTATTTTGCGATAGATATCTTAAATCTCATTCGATTTTATTTACAGTAAATCGATTGTTTATATTTTAATTTTTATTTCTAATGAAAGTGTAAGGCAACGTTTAATATTGTTTAAACATATATGCTTTTAAAGTTAAATATATTTTAATGTTTAACTAATTAGTAAATTTCAAAAATAAAATTGTAAAGCAAGTAGTTTTGGAATTTTTTACATAAAATTCTGGAAAAAATGGTAAAGGCAGGGAAATTTTACCCAGAACTTTACCTGATACCTTGTAAAATCATCTTTCATTTTAATGATTATAAAAGTTGATTGCTTTTGAATAATGTGTAGGCGTGTAACGCAACCACGCGCTGGATTTCCTCAGATGTGATGAAACATTGTCAGAGGGAGGGGTGATCGAGGGCACGGAACAGAGAGAAATTAGGGAGCTTAAGACAAAAGTAAAAAATTTTGCTACTGGCAGCGGGCAGGCATTTTTAATTTTGTGAATTTGTGGAAATACGGTCCTGATATTGCAAAAATTGCTGAAAACCTTTTCAAGAAGTTTTTTAATTGTAAATGGATTCAAGATTCTGCCTAACAATTGCTAATACTAAATTGGAGATGCAACATACAAATATTTGGTATTCAGCCTATAGGGGAGAGTCGGGTAGCCCCGCTCACTTAAGGAGTATTGCTTATATTTCTGTATAATACTGAGTAATAATCAACATTTTTGTATGTTTCTATTGTTTTATCATCTAATTAAATAATGCAAAAAGAATAAACCAAAAAAAGAATAGTTAAACTTAAAAAAATAGAAATTTAAAAAAACATGTTTTTCAGCTCTTTTCAAAATGTGTCGGGTAGCCCCGCCCAGTTACAAAAATTGTGTTTTTTGGCTATTTTTTCAGGTGTAAATGAGAATGACCAATGTATTGACAATAGATAAACCTCATTTATCATTTTTATCACAAAATTATTTTATTTATTACATATTTATATACTTTTAGTGAATTCTATCATTTAATAACAACAAATGTCATACCTTTTATCATTATTAATGTATATTAATATATTATAATATTAATATATATTTATATTAAATATTTAATGAAAATAATTTAATTTAAGTAACAATAATTAATAACAATAGTTGTTTTTCAATATAAACTTATTTGGTTGATCTCTTCTTATAAACTTAATATAAAATACTTCTTATAAAATTACAAATTCACTTTGTATTTTGATTGCATTCAAATGCTTCTGTAGATTGATTCGTTCACAAATAAGTGAAAATAAATAAGTAAGCAAATAGCTTATCATAATATTTATGATTTCTTGATATTAAATTTAATTTGGATATATCAATTACATTTTAAAAATATTTAATTTTTCATTTTTAAATATATAAATTTATGTTTCATATAATATTAAAACATATATTTGTTGTTAAAAATGCATATAACATTCAAATTTGAAGCAATAAAATAATAATCTTTGCAACCGTACATTTATCGACGAAATAAAATTGGGCGGTGATACCCGACATTCATGTGAGCGGGGCTACCCGAAATCCAATTTTTTTGTAAATTTGTAATTACTAGAACAATTTTTTACATACAAACTTCTTTCTTTGTGCAAATTAAACTTAAGACTACATACTTTAATGCTGTATGTATAGAAAAAATTATTTTTTTAGTATTAAAATGAAGTTTAATCGAAACATTCAATCAATTTTTCTTAATTTCATGACTACTGTATTCAACATATTTTCAAAACTATTGTTTACCATGTTACCAGCTGCATAAATACTTGAAACTTTGAAAATAATCTTTTTTTAATATAACAATTAATGTCCGATGGCCCATTGACTTGAAAAAATATTCTATACACATGAAATTGACAGTGGGCGGGGGTACCCGCTGGGCGGTGCTACCCGACTCTCCCCTACTCCTCAACACAGAATATTAATTTCGGACGAATAATGGAAACAAAATCACTCACATTTTTACTAATTTCAATTGACATATTTTAAATAACACAACTTAGTAATGTATCACTTTTGATGTGTTACGCATTAAGTGAACTTAAACAATTCTTAAATTTATAATATTTTTTTTATAAAAAATTGCCAGAAATTAATTTTTATTTACATAATATTCTTTTAATTAATTTTATGAATAAATATAAAATGATCAATTATTTATTTACAAAAAAATTATGATTTAATATTTATATGAATGCGCACACGATGTTTGTAAAAGTAGAAATATTTTCTTAGAATACCACATTTGGAATTTAAACTTAGGGAAACNCGAACTGTCTTTCCCCCCCCCCCCCCGGAAGGGTTTATTAGATTAACAAAACAATAATGAAGCTAAACAAATCTGTGAAGGGTCCGATTGAAAGATAAATTATTTTGTGAAGGGTCCGTTTTTATGAAAAGATATTTTGTGAAGGGTTCGTTAACGGACCCAAATTTCTTCTAAACAGACTTCTGATTCCTAAAATGGAGAAAAATTTAAAAAGCGTGGAGTAATTTTCAGAATTTAATAAAACATTCATAATAATTCTAAAATGAAAAAAAAAATTATGAAATGTACATGGCAATTGAGTGATGTTTGGCTGACATTTTTTTAACCGCCACCTGTTATAGTTAGCCGTCCTTTGATTGATGGCGATAGTTAATTTTTCCATGTATCAGAGAGAACAGAATTTTTATCAATCTGGAAAAATGAGTATTTTTATTAAAGCAGGATTATATTATTAAATCTGGATC